TCTAACCACCGATATGGAGATTGACCAACTAGCAGCAACGCCAATTTCCCTTACTTTCTGAACGAAGGCTTTTCTCGACGAATCCGATGATCTCGTGTCCTTAGACACACCCCATTATAGTTTTCCTCTGTAGCAGCATCGGGACGGGAAAGGCATTCTCGTTCGCGACCTCACTGATGAAAGGAGTAACCCTTTACGACCAGTGAATATTACGCGTCCGACTTAGATTTTGTGGGTACGTTCATCTATCATCCCGTCGACCGCGGATGCGTTACTGAACCTAGGATCATTGTCATTAGTTTCTCGAGTACCTCACTACCCCGGTTACTTGTCCGGCTCTATAATAATCGTATTTGCACTAGTCAATGTCTTCTCTATTGCATAACGACAACGTGTAACCCAAACGAAGATTCGTTTCACGCCCCTAACCCTAATTCTAATGTAAACCCGACATATATAACAAATTGCATACGACAGCAGTTTGTCCATTTTATTTCGCGATACGTGAATAGACCTATCCTCCACATATCGACTCAACCGGACCCCGCAGTTTTTAACCATAAAATGCCATAAAGTCTCAAAGCATAGTCTGTCGATGTTCATCGGTTAGATTACATGAGATACCGAGAAACAAGAGATTGTTAGATATTCAACACAATCATTCTATAACTGATGCCTGAGTGAAAGGAATGCAACAGCGTCGTTCAACAAGAAGAAGGACAATTCCGAGGTTAGTGAGAAGTCACAAGGAACGTAATGAAACAACTATAAGGGAGATGGCACAAGCGGCGAGTGGGTCGACTGATGATTTAATTCATCAGGAGAGCTCGACTGAAAGCTTGAATTGAAAGATTGAAAACTTGAATTGAAAGATCGAATGAAAGGGGATCTTACAAATCCCTACAGCGAAGAACACCATCCCACGAGCAAGAATATGTGCATTTGCACTGCATAGACAGTACTTCGAAATGAAGAAGAGACAGTGCTAGATCTATACATAAAAAGTGTAGCTGACGTTATAAGACGATACGATATGTAACGAGAAACGTAAATGTACAACAACCCGTTAACATATCCATGTAAAAAGAAGTAATCGTAGCAGCATTATGAAGCATTGATGGAAAACGAAAACAGTAAAATAACTTCACTTCATCGCAACAATAAGAATACTAAATACAACTGAGGTGAGAGGCAGGTGGTAATAGCGCTACTGCTGTTGTAGATGGCTCTGGGAGGTACTGCTGCTTTTTCTTCTAACTTAAGAATCGTGGAAAGAAAAATGGGACTACGTGGGCCCACTCTCGCGAAATAACATTTACAAAGGCCTGGAGCATGTAAAGGTTTGGACGCCGTAGCTTTCGATGACTTGGCCCGAGTTATTGCGACCAGAAAGCTGCAAGACATCGGCGATAGGGTTCGGGAAGCCACGAAGGTCATCACAGAATGGTGCGTGGACACGGGCCCTCATCCGGCCCAAGGTAATACTGAAATTATACTGTTGACAGGGAAGCGTGTCCCGAGAATGGTGAAATAATTTGACGAAAAAAACAAACCAAAAGCACAGTGAAATATTCTCATGTTTCATTGAACAACGCTAGGACGTATTCTCTTCATCCGAGCAGGTGTGCGGCAAGGCAGAGGCGTTCGTTAGCGTCATTAGAAACCTGTTGTCGAACGTAAACGGTCCCAACAGCTTTATTAGGATGCTGTACTATGGGTAGTATGGGGATGGGAGTCGGTGGTACTTTACGCTGCACCAATATGGGCATCTGCGCTGAGCTATCAAGAAAATAGCTAAGATAAAGTGTCACACGCGGTCCTATGCGTTGTGACTAGCAGTATGCCCATATCTATGAAGGCCAGGCTGCGGGAGAAAAAATAATCATTTAAGAAGAGTTTTTCTCAGGAAACAATGGTAATAGCGCTACTGCTATTGTAGATGGCTCTGGGAAGTACTGCTGTTTTTTCTTCTAACTTAAGAATCGTGGAAAGAAAAATGGGACTACGTGGGCCCACTCTCGCGAAATAACATTTACAATGGCCTGGAGCATGTAAAGGGTTTGGACGCCGTAGCTTTCGATGACTTGGCCCGAGTTATTGCGATCAGAAAGCTGCAAGACATCGGCGATAGGGTTGGGGAAGCCACGAAGGTCATTACAGAATGGTGCGTGGACACGGGCCTTCATCTGGCACCAAATAAGACTGAAATGATATTGTTGACGGGGAAGCACGTCTCGAAAATGCTAAAATAGAATAAACGGAAAAACAAATCAAAAGTACAGTGAAATATTTTGATGTTTGATATGATGACAGGGAAGCGTGTCCCGAGAATGATGAAATAATTTGACGAAAAAAACAAACCAAAAGCACAGTGAAATATTCTCATGTTTCATTGAACAACGCTAGGACGTATTCTCTTCATCCGAGCAGGTGTGCGGCAAGGCAGAGGCGTTCGTTAGCGTCATTAGAAACCTGTTGTCGAACGTAAACGGTCCCAACAGCTTTATTAGGATGCTGTACTATGGGTAGTATGGGGATGGGAGTCGGTGGTACTTTACGCTGCACCAATATGGGCATCTGCGCTGAGCTATCAAGAAAATAGCTAAGATAAAGTGTCACACGCGGTCCTATGCGTTGTGACTAGCAGTATGCCCATATCTATGAAGGCCAGGCTGCGGGAGAAAAAATAATCATTTAAGAAGAGTTTTTCTCAGGAAACAATACACACAGGATAAACAAGAAGAATATCTGATCGAGGTTGGCCGGTCAACTTTAATCAAGAGGCGGGGAATCAGAGGAGGATTGAATGTGCCTTCTATAAAATTTCATCCAAATTTACTTTTGTCAAATTTACACGTCGTTATTATTGCATTATCCGCTGTTGATAAATGATAAGTATGTATGTGCACACAGTTCGTATATTGTTCGAACGACTTCTCATCCCATTTTTAAGGGGTTAATGTATGCTCTAGAAATTAATACAAAGCATTCGTAATGCATGCGTTAAAATTAAGGGGAATTAGTAAGTAATTCGTAATAATGTAAAGAAGTTAGAATTATAAATAAACACAAGATTGGTATCTGTAAAAAATTCAATGTAGTTCAAGTTGAAATATATTCAATTTCCTATACGTGTCAATCTTGCGTTTATAAGAAAGACCAACACCTTGAATTGGAAGTAATGTGAATCTATAATCAGTATATTTCTACGTTATATCCATGCGAAGAGGTAATGTCTTAGAGGGCACGCATTTTCATAATGATAATATGGCGAATAGCTCGCCGCTTTTTAGCCTTACAATAATTTATCACTGAGCGTGCGTGTATAAATGTTTGGAAAGTCCATATCAGACTCGAAGTCGCTGAGCTGAAGGAGAAGAGGGCGGAGAGATGAAGAGATAGTGAGTTACAGCAGGGGTCGGTCTTAGAACCAGTCTTCTGGAACCTCACGTACGACGTTGTGTTTTCGACAACAAATCGCGCCCGGAATCGACACTGACGTGACCAGCAAACGACATGTTGGTGCTGGTCTGAGGCTTGATGTGGGGATGGATTATCTGTCACCCGGAAGCGACGGTAGCCTGTTTGGTAGTCTTCATTATGGGATTGGGATTGGAGGTGTCCCTTGAGAAGACCGAAGCCCTGAGGACCTTGTTGCAGGGCAGATGACGGGACGCCTCCAGCGGGGTACTGTCTGAGGCTGGGGTTAGAGTGGGCCACACTGTGGGACGGTAGATGAAATATCTGGTTCTCATCCTCGACAGCCATTGGGCCTTCGGTGACCACTTCGTGCGTCTGGTACCGTATATCGAGAACACGGCGAATGCCTTAGGATGTTTGCTGCCACGGATTGGCGAACCCGGAGGCTGGGGGCGCCGGTTGTATGCCGGGATGGTGCGGTTAAACTTCCTTTACGGGGCTCTGATCTGAGTGGTGGACTAGAAGACAAACCGCCGCAGCCTCCTGGGACGATAGTGATCAAGGTAGTGAGAGGT